TGCCGGGGGTGGCCATCTATTAGAATTCAGTTATTATTTAAAGACAAGGACTGGGCGCGGTCCTGTATTACGGACTCACGCCTGTAATCCCAGCACTTTGGGAGGCCGAGGCGGGCGAATCACCTGAGGTCAGGAGTTTGAGACCTGCCTGACCAACATGGTGAAACTCCATCTCTACTAAAACTACAAACTTAACTGGGCGTGGTGGCAGGTGCCTGTAATCCCAGATACTTGGGAGACTGAGGCAGGAAAATCGATTGAACCTTGGAGGTGGAGGTTGCGGTGAGCCGAGATAGCGCCATTGCACTCTGGCCTGGTGACAGCGAGACTCCATAACAAAACAAATTATAAAATAAATAAAGATAAGCAAGAGCCACTTAGTGCGGGGAACACAATTTGTATATTTATTTTGTTTCTATGTGGATCATAACAAGGCAGGCACAGCTTAGTACAAATCGATGACCCGTCTCAAAGAGCCGACTTTGGCATCTGCACCCCCCCAGTCGTGGTACCTCCTGTAGTCCCCAGGCCTCAGCAGATACTGCCGCCCCCGGTAGTTGGGCATTTCATAGAGGACCCAGCAGCCCTCCAGTACGTGGAGGGAATAGATCTCATGGAGACGGAAGAGTTCTGGGACACAGGCGCAGTCATCAGTGAGCTCAGACATAAGGCCTCGGTAGTCATCTCTCTCGTACAGCCTTAACTTGTGAGACCTGGTCTGTCATGGCAATAAACAAAAGAAGAAAAATAAACAGTGTGCATCCTTGGGTGTCAACGAAAGTGACATAATCGGTCTGTATCTTCATGAAGTGTGATTTTATTTTTGAGATAAAGGTCTTGCTGTGTTGCCCAGGCTGGAGTACAGTGGCAGGATCACTGCTCACTGCAACTTTCACCTCTGGGCTTAAGCGATCCTCCCACCTCAGCCTCCCAAGTAGCTGGGATCACAGGTGTGCACCATGACACCCAGCTAATTTATTTTTAAAATTTTTTTGTAGAGACGGAGTCTCACTATGTTGCCCAGGGTGGTCTTGAATCCCTGGGCTCAAGTGATCCTCTCACCTTGGCCTCCCAAAATGTTGGGATTATGGGTGTGAGCCACTGCACCTGGTTGAAACATGGTTTTTAAACCAGTTGATAAAGTGTTTCTCCCCTGAACCCACTTTTAATGTTGTTATTCTAACAAGTTAGGAAAAATATTAAAATAAATCTGACCTGATCAGTGAACTGGAGATGTTGTGGAAGAAACAAACATTAAAATACAGGGAATAAAAGTGTATTCTTTGTAAGCAACCATCAATACAATTGTAGTCAGTGAATCTGTAGTGAGGATTTCAACTCTCATATCCATTTTTACTCCATATAATTCTTATCAAGCTTGTTTTTAAGTCACTTTTTGCACTTACAATTTACAGTGATTTATATTTACACTGAGTCCACATGTCTTTTCAAGTGACATTTTGCCAGGTCATTTGTGCCATTTGAGTTTCTTGTCCCCCAAAAATGCCTATTTTATTTATACCTCTTTGTGCATCTGCATATTTTTTAAGCCTAAATTTGGTTTTTCTTTTTTTTTTGGAGATGAAGTCTCACTCTGTCACCCAGGCTGGAGTGCAGTGGCATGATCTCCGCTCACTGCAACCTCGGACTCCTGGGTTCAAGCAATTCTCCTGTCTTAGCCACCTGCTTAGCTAGGACTATAGGCATGCACCACCATGCCTGGCTAATGTTTTGTATTTTGGTAGAGACAGGGTTTCACCATGTTGGCCAGGCTGGTCTTGAACTCCTGACCTCAAGTGATCTGCCCAGCTCAGCCTATCAAAGTGCTAGGATTACGGGTGTGAGCCACTAAGTCTGGCCATGATTTCAATTCTTGAATCTCCTTGTCATACCACATAACTTGGTGCCATCAGAAAGTGTAAATACATGCTGCATGTGATTAAAAAAGATTAAGCAGCATTTTGGTGAGGACCATGTTCTATGAAATCCTAATCAATCGTGTGTCTCTGGTATTTGTAAGAACTAGTTGGTAATGACTCCTGGAAATTATAAATCCACACAAGTTGAAATGTATTTTCCTAGGTTCTAGTAAGTCCCAGAATGTAGTGAAAAAAATTTCCAATGCAGTCAGAATACATTATACCTATGTTGTTATCCCATAGTCTGTTAACTTTTTATCATTAAAAAATAATTGTCATGGCCGGGCGCAGTTGCTCATGCCTGTAATCCTAGCACTTTGGGAGGCCGAGGTGGGCGGATCACCTGAGGTCAGGAGTTCGAGAACAGCCTGACCAACATGGAGAAACCCCGTCTCTACTAAAAATACAAAATTAGCCAGGCATGGTGGCGCATGCCTGTAATCCCAGCTACGAGGGAGGCTGAGGCAGGAGAATCGCTTGAACCTGGGAAGCAGAGGTTGTGGTGAGCTGAGATTGTGCCATTGTACTCCAGTCTAGGCAACAAAGGCAAAAGTGAAACTTTGTCTCAAAAAAAAAAATTATCTAGATAAACTAGATAGACTTTTCTTTTTCTTTCTTTCTTTCTTTTTTTTTGTTACTGAATAAGGTGACTTTTATGTAGAAATTAGGGATCATCTAGATGCCACCAAGTTTAATTTAAAGGCTATGTTGTGATTTCCCATGCCCTAAAACAATTATTGATGTCCTTAAGTAGGAGAAATAGAGATTATTATTTTGTTTTGTTTTGTTTTGTGTTTTTAAGGCTTGAGGGTCAGACCTTGTTGTGAACACTCACGCTGAGTTGGAACAAACTGACTTTTATAAACAGGAATTGATGGCCATGGATCATTGATGCTTTCACATCAGTCAGGTGGAAGCAAGACTCACATGAGGAATTATACGGCAGGATTGGACCGAGTCGCTGAGGCCCATCCAGTGCTGATAGTCGGGGTACTTGCCTCGGCGCAGGAAGTACTGGTGGCCCTGGTAATTGGGGCGCTCATAGAGCATCCAGCAGCCGCTGTCTACTCGGATGGAGTTGCAGCGGCTGAAGTAGACGCGCAGGTTGGGGCAGTCACTGATGCAATTGTAGCAGCGACCCTGAAAGTCTCGGTCCTCGAAGAAGGTGATCTGAGGCAGAAATAAGGTGACAGTAGACAGTCAGCTGGAAGGAACATCCCCACACACCCCAGACCCCCAATAGACATGGCACAGCATCTCCACAGGCTCACCTTCCCCATGGTTGTTGACAGAGGGTGATTAGCATGTAGTATGATGGGGACAAAGGGGCAACTGGTATATATAGCAGGAAAGCTGCTGTGTTGGCAAAAACAACACAAAAGGGACCTGGGGGTGGTGCATAGGGGGATTTCTGTATTCTCTCTCTTTTTTTTTCATCGGAGATCATGGGGCAGGGGACTCTCTTCTCTCTCTTTCTGGCATTTTCGAGTTGTCCTCACTAGCTCCAGTGAAAGGTATTAAAGTCAGCAGAGCCATTATGACCTTGGAGACAAAGGGCGCACTTCTCATCCTATGCAGCTCACTAGAAATACATTACATGCCCAGCATTCTGCAATGTTTGCCTATGGAAACTGCTGAGATGGAGGTTGGTGGTTCCATCTGAGGTCACTTACGGGAAGCATATGCGGTCCAGAAGGACATGAATTGTGAAGAGGCAACAACAAAATCCCAAACAGAAAATCCTCTAATTAAAAGACAATTATATTTCTTAAATGACTTCATCAGTATGATACAGTCTTGATAAAAATATTTTGCATATATTTAGGTAGGGAAAACATAAGATTAGAAGTGTGTACTATACTAACATATCAATCATGGTAATCAATGAATGGCAAGATTATAGATCTTAGCTTTATTTTTTGTATTTTGTTTTTTGCTGCTGTTTTCTTAATTTTCTATTACATCTGCCATCTTCAGCCAGACAGGAAAAAAATTCTATTATAAAGATAACAATTTCATGAGATGAAAAAATAATAAAATCAATCTTTAAATGTATGACTTTGAGGTGCTGGTGAAAAGCAGTAAATACTGGAAGCAGGTATATTTTGCTTGGAGATTAAACACTTCTTGAGCTGAAAATAAAAAGGTAACCTGAGAGTCTGTGACAGGCTCAAAGAGCAGAAGAATACGCAGGATCCTTCCACTCCCCTCCCCCTCCCACCCTCCTTCTAGCATTGCTTTTTTTTTTTTTTAATTAGCATGATGATTGCCTGTGTTTTTCCTTTCAATGGTATCACTGTTTCATTGAACCCAAGTGACTGCCTGAGAGCCTTCTCCATTGCTGCCAACGTATTGATTTAGAAGCACTCCTCAGATGTGCAAGGGTGGAGGAAGACTCCAAACCCCAGACTGTCTTTTGTCATTCCACATGTATGTAGGAAGATGAAATCAAACACCTTTGTGCTTTAGACCCATGGAGAGATTCTAAAAGAGTATTTGACCACAGCTAGCAACACATTCACAATGTCATTTGTGAAAATCCTCAGGCAGCATGTAAGGCAAATGCGCAGGTGGTAAAAGGAGAGACAGCAGTAGCTACTGAGAAAAAAATAACTAGCAGAGCTAGGCAAAAGAAAACTGGGCGACGTCCTATGAAGCTAGACACCTAGCAGTGCATGCAGGGACCACAGGTTGCTGATTCCCTCCTTTGCCTCCCTTCTAATTAGCTGCAGGCCTACTGGTAAGTCTTACTTACAACCATAATCAAACCCAGTGTGGAAAACGTTGCATTGGTCTCCCAGCCCTGCATGAGAATACACCACCATTTTCAGAAAAAGTCTACAACCCCCATCTGTGTTTTTGCACATGCTGATGAAAACTGTTCTGTAGACAGATGGCACACCAGAACCTTAAGAAATGTATCATGCATACTGACATTCATGTGATCAAGTTGTTATTACATACATTGACAGGCTAAGCCATGTGCCTAATCAGCATTTTGGAAAGGTACTAAAAGACCAGAACATCTCCCCTCCTAGTAGTCTTTATAGTCTACTGAGAGAAAGCCTGTATTCATTTTTCTTTTAATGCTTTATTGAAATGAGTTTTAAAAATTTTTTCATATGAGAACACAGTAAAGGCAATCAATGACAGATTAATTTTATTTTGGATTAACTCTTTGGAAATCTGCCTCCCACTCCATCTCTGTGCAGTATTTAATGCCACACATTTGTAAAATGTGCTACAAAGCCAGCTTGCTCTAATACAGAAATACTACATACTCTCTGAATTCTCCAGCAGTCTGACAGTCACAATGAAGTAGCATAAGATCATGCTTTTTTTTTTTTTTTAACAGAATGTAGCCGTGCAATATGCTTCTAAAAGAAGAAAGCTCAACATCAAAAATAACACTTCAATGCAGTTATATCAAAAACTAGTTGTAAAGAAAAATGTACTGGCAAAAGCTGTGGTTTTAAGATGATGCTTCTCATCTGCTCCCAGAGAATCTATTATGAAGTTCCATGGTACAATTCCAATTTTCTAAGTGACCTGCAGAATAAAAGATGATTTTGGTATCAAGCACATCAATTTAACATGGACACAAACATTAGCTTTAAATCTATAGGAAGTTAAGGTCAAATGTCAGATACTAACTTACTGACAAAGATAGATTAGATTAATGTAATTACAAAGGAATTTTTGTGGAATTATTCTGATATATTTGGAAATTGAGTTATATTTCCCAACTAAATGCAATATGTGATCCCATACTGGATCTTATACAGAAGGAAAAAAATGCTTAAAAAGAACATTACTGGGTCAATTGAAAAAATTGGTGTATAGAGAGTAGATTAAATAAAAGTACCAATAATATTCTGAAGTTGATAACTATTCTGCGGTTATTTAAGAGAATGACTTTGTTCTTAAGAAATACACACCTAGGGACATAGGGTAAAGTGGTAAGAGTATATATAACTTCTAATGGCTCAGAAAAAAATTATTTATCTTTATCTATATACAGAGAGACAAAGACAGAATATAATAAAGCTAATAGAACAAAACTAACAATTTGTGACTCTGCATAAAAGGAATATGTGGGTTCTTTGTATATTATTCTTGCAAATTTTCTCTAAGTTTGAAATTATTTTCACATTAAGAAGTTATACTTCTCTTAACCAGTACTACCCAAAGCAAATCAGTTTTTGGCCTTTTAGCAGTTACGTACTATGCTTGTAGGATACTATTTTGAATTTCTGATGTATTGCTTTGGATTTAAATTTAAATTGTACTCTATGTCTCGTTTCCTTCCATGATAGCATGAATTTTTCATGGGTGGTGATAAAGAAAGTGATTATATTATTGCTTGCCACTGTCCTGATACTTTTCTTTTCTTTTTATTTTTTGAAAGATGGAGTCTTGCTCTGTCACCCAGGCTGGAGTGCAGTGGCATGATCTTGGCTCACTGCAAGCTCCGCCTCCTGGGTTCATGCCATTCTCCTGCCTCAGCCTCCCGAGTAGCTGGTACTGCAGGCACCACCATGCCCTGCTAATTTTTTCTATTTTTTAGTAGAGACAGGGTTTCACCGTGTTAGCCAGGATGGTCTCGATCTCCTGACCTCGCGATCCGCCCGCCTCGGCTTCCCAAAGTGCTGGGATTACAGGCGTGAGCCACCGCGCCCCACCTGTCCTGACACTTTTCTAAGCCTTTACACATATAACTTATTTAGTGCTTGTAGCAACCCTATGAGGTAGGTACTATCATGACTTTTTAAAGAGATGAAAAACTAAAGCACAGAGAGATTAGGAAACTCACTCAAGTTATTAAGTGGGTAGCCTGGATTCAAGAAGTATGCTGTATTCTAGCTCTTTAGTATGGTCCTGTTCATTCCAAATTTATTTCCTAGTAATGTGCCCACTACTGACGCTTTCCCAGGACAATGCAATTAAAAAAAAAATCTTTAAAACTGTTTCCTAGCTGGGCGCGGTGGCTCACGCCTGTAATTGCAGTACTTTGGGAGGCCGAGGTGGGTGGATCCGCGAGGTCAGGAGTTCGAGACCAGCCTGACCAACATGGTGAAACCCTGTCTTTACTAAAAATACAAAAATTAGCCAGGCATGGTGTTTGCACACCTGTAATCCCAGCTACTCAGGAGACTGAGACAGGAGAATTGCTTAAACCTGGGAAGCAGAGGTTGCAGTGAGCCGAGATCACATCACTGCACTCCAGCCTGGGCAACAGAGCAAGACTCCATCTCAAAAAAAAAAACAAAACAAAAAAAAACAGTTTCCCAGAACACTGAGGGTTTTGTTTGTTTGTTTGTTTCTTTGTTTGTTTTGAGACAGAGTCTTGCTCTGTTGCCCAGGCTGGAGTACACTGGTGCAATCTCAGCTTATTACAACCTCTGCCACCGGGGTTCAAGCAATTCTCATGCCTTAGCCTCCCTAGTAGCTGGGATTATAGGTGTGCATCACACACCCAGCTAATTTTTGTATTTTTAGTAGAGATGGGGTTTGCCATGTTGTTCAGGCTGGTCTTGAACTCCTGACCTCAAGTAATCTGCCTGCCTTGGCCTCCCAAAGTGCTGGAATTACAGGCATGAGCCATTGTACCTGGCCGAGATTTTTTTCTTTAAATAATTTCCTATTTTCTCTTACTCTATGAAGAAATTCGGTGGCTGGAAATAAATAAAAAATTCTGAATAAGGCATTGTTTTATCTTGAGGTTAAAAAAATTGTTCTTTAGCTAAAAGACATATAATATCTACAAGCCAAAAACGAAAAATATTAAGCTCAAATATTTAAAATGAAAATATTCTTCAAATACCAGACTGTGAAAGCATGTTTTTCATCCATTTAATAAAATACTTATTCCTTTAATGTAGAAAGAATTCTAACAAACCAGTGAGACATACATATATGTATATTTATATGTATATGTATAGCAAATATTTAAATGTCACAAGAAATATTAACAGTCGTTATTTCTGAAAAGTGGGAAAGGGGTATGAAGAAGAGGGAGTTCTTTTGCTTTTCATTTTATATTTTCTGTATGGCTTGAAAATTTTACTTATAAGCATGTATCACTATTAAAATTTTTAAAACTAGTTTAAAAGATACATTACCCAAGAGTTTGAAAAAATGCCTAAAATGCACAAATAATAAAGTGTGAAAGAAAAAACACAAATGCGTTTTCTGTCGTTTGATTGTTAAGAAAGGGCCTTTCTGGAAGGGATTCATCTCAGGGCCTGGGGCCCTACTAAAACATGGGCGTTTTTTCTTTTGACATTCCTGGGCTCGCAAGCATCAGTCAACCTATAGAAAGGTCTGGTCCCCAGAACTGAGCCTTTGATACTATAGACAGGGTACAGAGATTTGAGAACCGTCACCTAAGGACTATTCACTTACTACCTACTGCCAATTCACTAAATAAATATAGTTACTGAATCTCTGCTGCCTGCAAAGTACTTCATATACGTGTGAGAAATACTAAGGAAATAAAAGATATGCTTCCATCAAGAATCCAACAATCTTCAGTGGTTGTGGAAGAAAACATATATCGAACAAAATTATATTTAAAAATAAGATACCAGTGAGTAATGTTTAGAGGTAGGTTTTCCTTACATAGGGTCCATTGATGAGGCTTTGGGGGTTTTCTGTAAACCCCTATTTCAGAGATCTTTTTGTGTGTGTGATTAAGTTTAAAGTCTAGATTGTGTGTGTGTGTGTGTGTGTGTGATTTCTGGAGTTGTTACTGTTTTTTTCATTGTGCCTTTGTTTTACTCTCTAAAACTTGCTGCTTCCAAACACATATAAAAAATGACCTCATTTTTCAAATTCTTCAAAAAATTCTTCAGAAACAAAGCTATGGTTCTGGAAAGTCTAATACCTTCAGCCGGGCACAGTGGCTCACGCCTGCAATCCCAGCACTTTTGGGGGCTAAGGCAGGAGTTTGAGACCAGCCTGGACAACGTGGTGAAACCCCGCCTCTACTGAACATACAAAAATTACCCAGGTGTGGTGGGGCATGCCTGTAATCCCAGCTACTTGGGAGGCTGAGGCAGGAGAATCACTTGAACTCGGGAAGTGGAGGTTGCAGCGAGCCGAGATTGTGCCATTGCACTCCAACCTGGGTGACACAGCAAGACTCTGTCTCAAAAAAAAAAAAAAAAAAAAAAGAAAGAAAAAAAAAGAAAAAGAAAAGAAAAAAAATCTAATACCTTCAAATCTTATTATAGCAAATACGTTTGAAAGAAAATTGAATATGGTGATAATTTCCAAATAGTACAGTTGTTCTGTTATCAGAATAACATTTATTAAAACCCTGATATGACCAAAGAATTCAGTCAGTTGCTAAAGCAGTTGCTATGATAAGGTTACATTTATAATTAATCAGATATAAGGGACAGAGAAGATAGTTTGCCTCTGAAATCTGAATAAATCCTAAGCCTCATGTAGTCCAGTCTATTCAGAGATTCAGTTTAAAAATGGATGGCACAACAGCCAAACTAAATAAAAATAAATTTCAATTGTCACTTGTTTCCTGATGCAAACCCAATCATAAGTCAGCATATCAGTTCTCCAAGTTCCCTTCCCCCTTTCTACCTTACAGCCTTCCAGCATATCTAACATCTCCCATTCAACAAAACTCTAAAATATCCCAGACACCCACCCTGTACCAGTTTTCTGATTCTCTCCCCTCTCAGCTTTTATTCTTTTAATCAGAGAAGTCTCTCTGACTTCTTACATTTTCTTTTCACTTTGCACGTTACAGCTGAGAGCCCAGAGCTGGAAGAACAAAGAGCCCTCCTCCCTGTCTCCTTTCTTTCCAGCCCTGTCCATCTCTGATCATTCTCTGAATTCTGCCACATAAAAATCGAGAATCAGATGGGCAGGAGCAGGGGAGACATTAAGCAGGAAAAAAGAAAATTATTATTACTGAGAGAGGAATCAAGAATAGGAACATTTTGGATACAGATATTAATACAAACTTTCTCCTCAACGTATTATTTGCATCAACAGAGTAACAGCCAATTAACTTGTGGATAGTATTTTTCAAATGCTGAAAAGATAATAATGGCTAGTATTTATTTGGGGTTTACTCCATGCTAAGCGCTGTTCTAAACTTTTACCATGAATAATCTCAGTTAATCACCCCAACAACCTTAAGAGGTAGGTATCATTATTCTTCCTATTTTGCAGAGGAGGAAACTAAGGCACAGAGAGTTCAGCTTGCCTGCTGTCACACAGCTGGTAAGCAGTGGGCTCTAGAGGCACCACCTCAGCCTCCTGAGTAGGTGGGACTAGAGGAGCGTGCCACCACGGCCAGCTATTTTATTTATTTATTTATTTATTTATTTATTTATTTTTGAGATAGAGTTTCGCTCTTGTTGCCCAGGCTGGAGTGCAATGGCGTAGACCCAGAGCATCTGACTCCAAAGGCTAAACTTTTAACCACGCTATCAGGAAAGTACTCCCAAAATAGCTGGTATCAGTTTGGTCCAATTTACAATTTCACACCTACTTTGTTCTTTGGCTGTGTGTCTGAAAACCTTTGTGATGATTTCCATTCCGTGGCATTTGCTTCCTTTGTAGAGCTGCTGTTGGCATTTTTATTTGTTGTTCCCTTTCTTGACTTGACACCTACAGACAGATGTAGTAACCATATCTGTATATAAAACTTTTTAAAAAAATGTGTACGTCCACAGTTTAATTTAATTTAATTTCATTAATTAATTATTTTTGAGATAAGGTCTCGCTGTGCCGCCCGGGCTGGAGTGCAGTGGTTCCATCACGACTCATTGCAGCCTCCACCTCCTGGGCTTTAACAACCCTCCCACCTCAGCTTCCTGAGTAGGTGGGACTAGAGGAGCGTGCCACCATGGCCAGCTATTTTATTTATTTATTTATTTATTTATTTATTTATTTTTGAGATGGAGTTTCATTCTTGTTGCCCAGGTTGGAGTGCAATGGCGCAATCTCAGCTCACTGCAACCTCTGCCTCCCAGGTTCAAGAGATTATCTTGCCTCAGCCTCCAGAGTAGCTGAGATTACAGGTGCCTGCCACCATGCCCAGCTAATTTTTGTATTTTTAGTAGAGATGGGGTTTCACCTATTGGCTAGGCTGGTCTCAAACTCCTACCCTCAGGTGATCCGCCCACCTCGGCCTCCCAAAGTGCTGGGATTACAGGATCACAGGCATGAGCCACTGTGCCCGGTTTATTTTTGTAGGGATGAAGTTTCACTAAGTTTCCCAAGCTGGTCTCAAACTTCTGGGCACACAAGAGATCCTTCCTGCCCGGCCTCCCAAACACTGGGATTACCAGTGTGAGCTACCCTGTCCAGCCCACCCACAGTTTTAGATCCTTTGCTTCTGGAGTGCTTTGCTCCCATCACCAAAGCATCTGAGAAATAAGACTTCCTTGATTTCAGTAATGGAGGGAAATCAAGCCCTAAGAGCCCCTGGTTCTTTCAAATTCACCCAGACACAGAAATCGAATTCCCATTACAATTTTGACCTTACCTGGTGAGGCTATTTCCTAATCTCCTAGTTTTACTTACATTCCTCTAAGCAGATGAAAGTAACCAGGCTTACTCTGTTTGCGGGCGTATTCTGCTGCTTTGGGTGCTGTTAACATGGCAAAGGGGTGCAAGGAGAGGCGGAGAGATGAAACTCGGGGAACCTGAAAGGAAAACAGTCCTACTTTTAAAATCTGTCCATTCTTTGTGGCATGAACACCTGCTAGTTACAGCATTTGGCCTGTTTAATCAACTCTGCATCCTTGAGTCCAATTCTTGAGTACTGTCAGTAATGACAGTACTCACAGTCCATAATGGGGCGTGTGAAGCATATGAACGTGAACTTGCACACATGGCCTTTTGCTCCTGTACTTGGTTCCCATTGCCTAGAATGCCCTGTCACACACAGATACTCTTCACATAGTTCCCTTTATAGCCATTTCCTCCTTTTCTGCCTAGAGGCACCTACCTCTCTTACCATGTAACTCAAATATCACCGCTTCTGAGAAATGTCTCCTGATGTCCTCCTATTCCCACTCTCCCTTGCTGGCAGAGCTCCCCCTGCCTACCTAATGCAGAAATGTTGGTTCACTCATCTGGCCAAAAGTCTTTAACAGGCACTTTACAGAAGAAGAAACATGTGAATAGTTGTCCATTGGTAATCAGGGGAATGCAAATTTAAACCACCGTGAAACACCATAATACACTTAACAGACTGACAAAACTGAAAAAGCCAATGTAGATAACCTGCATTGCTGGTAGAACTAGAATTGGCACAACCATTTTGGAAAACAATTTAGCTTTATGTAGAGAGTTGAAGATGCTTATACCCACGGCTTAGCGATTTCATTCCTAGGCATATACCACACAGAAACTCTTTTGCTGTGCAACGCTTTTTGCTTTTGCAAGAAATAACTCGGCCAGGCATGGTAGGTCATGCCTGTAATCCCAGCTCTTTGGGAGGCTGAGGTGGGTGAATCATCTGAGGTCAGGAGTTCAAGACCAGCCTGGCCAACATGGCAAAACCCCGTCTCCACTAAAAATACAAAAAAATTAAGTGAGTGTGGTGGCAGATGCCTGTAATTCTAGCTACTCGGGAAGATGAGGCAGAAGAATTGCTTGAACCCAGGAGGCAGAGGTTGCAGTGAGCCGAGATTGCGTCACTGCACTCTAGCCTGGGCAACAAGAGTAAAACTTCGTCTCAAAAAAAAAAAAAAAAAAACTCAAGTGCCTGAAATGGAAAAATCGATGACAATATTGTGGTATATTCCTAGAGTGGAATACTATATGTAGTGAAAAGACACTATAGCTATGTTAGCTGTGTGCAGCAGTATTAATAAGTTTCTCAAACATAATGTTGAATGAAAAAAGAAAACCATTAAATGACACATTTGCTAATATTCTATTTATAAAAACTCAAAAAATTGTGCAAACTTGATATATAGATTAGAGATGCATATGTGGTAAAACTATAAAGAAGTAAAATATAGTAATCAACACATAATTCAAAATAGTGGTAACCTAGGGCGAAAGGAAGGGTATGAGACAGGAGAGGGTATGCAGAGAGCGTTAAAGCTGTTGATACTGTTCCATTTTACACACTTGGATTTGTTGGTTTGCTTGGGCTTTGTCCATTAAATATATATTGTTAAGTGTTCATTTGGACACAATTAATGTTGAAAGTGTGTTTTTAATCCCTCGTTTACTATTATTATTATTATTTTTGAGACAGGGTTTCACCCTGTCACCCAGGCTAGAGTGCAGTGGCGAGATCTTGGCTCCCGGCAGCCTCCACCTCCCAGGCTCAAATGATCCTCCCATCTCAACCTCCCAAGAAGCAGGGACTGTAGACACACAACACCACACCTAGCAAAGTTTTGTATTTTTTGATAGAGACAGGGTTTTTCCACATTGCCTAGGTTGGTCTCGAACTCCTGGACTCAAGTGATTCTCCTGCCTCAGCCTCTTAAAGGGCTGGGATTACAGGTACTGCGCCCGGCCAATTCCTCATGATTAAGATCTGTCAATATTGAACTTTTATTTAAAACATAGGTCCCTCCCCTTATCATGAAAACATTTTAAAATTTCTGCATAATTCAGTCTGAGTCAGCATCCTCCAAAAAGAGAAGATGCTTAGCAAATTACTGGGGTAAGTGTGAGAGGGTGGAAGCCAGGCCTATCACGATGGGACCAGGCTGCTCTCAGGAGGAAGGAGGCTGGCCATCCGAGTGGGGGTGAACTTGGAAATAACAGCACTAAAATGGCAGGTCCCCTGGTGCCGCCATCGTGTGCTCGATACGTGCAATCTCGATGAGTCCTCAGAGTGATCAGGTGTGTTTGGGGAAGTGTAATCATGCCTGTTTAGACATGCCTATTTACATGTGGGGAAACTGGGAATTGGAGAGAAATCACTTATCTGAAGACACACAGCTAGCAAGTGACAAAGCTGGGACTGGACATCAGTCTGTTTGCCTGTGACATGCTCTGGACTTGGATGTCAGTTAGGATGGACTCGAATGATAGCCAGTCAGACGCTGGGGTCTGGCTTCATGAAGAAAGAAGGAAAGCAGAGGTTCTAGTGCTGTCTGACCACCTGCCTTTGTCTCTTTCCTCTCTCTGATGTGCTCATTTCCACTCTCTCTGTCTCTCTCTCTCTCCATCAAATGGAGCTGAAGAATATTTTTATTTATGTTCAATTTGTTGAAGGAAGATTTATGTTCTCTTTTCTTCAGGTTAAAATTGAATAAAACACGGTTGGGTGCGGTGGCTCAGCCTGTAATCCCAGTTCTTTGGGAGGCCAAGGGGGTATGGATCACTTGAGGTAAGGAGTTCAAGACCAGCCCTGACAACATGGCAAAACTTCTCTACTAAAAATTTAAAAAAAATTAGCAGTGCGCAGTGGCGCGCACCTGTAATTCCAGCTACTCAGGAGGCGGAGGCAGGAGAATCACTTGAACCCGGGGGAGGGAGGTTGCAGTGAGCCAAGATCGCACCACTGCACTCCAGCCTGGGTGACAGAGTGAGACTCTGTCTCAAAAAACAAAAGAGTAAGACATTTGATATTTATACGGGGCTAGTTGTCAATAACCCTCACTTGCATAACGCCTTTAGCTGAATTTTTTCTAGGAGTCCAGAATCCTCAGCAGAAAAAAGCTCCCTATCAGCAAAAAACCCGCTTCCTCTCGGAGGTAGAACCTGAGGCTAACAGAGTTGGTGAGCAATCCTGCGCCTATGACGCCTTTCTACCATCAGGTGGCAGCACATACTCCTGGAGAAAGTCATCAAGCCTAGCGCAATACCCACATTGTCATGTGGCCAATTCCAGTTGCAGGAAATTCTACATAATCTGATTAGTATTCAACGGAGTTTTAAGCTTTTGCTTGGGAAGGATTTTAGCTGTTGCTTAGGAGACACTTTATCGGAAGGAATCATTCAGATATATGTGGCAATTAAAGAAGAATCTCTGGCAATATCTTTTTTTTTTTTTAAACTCCTCTTTCTAGTTAAAACCATTTTTTGAAATTATGTTAAATTCCAAAAGATTCTTAAAATAGCCTTACAGTTCAGTCTTTGAAATGCTACATTTCTATTGAGAGGTTCTTTTAATTCCTACTTCAAGATGTGGCAAAAGTCCCTGAGTGCAGCTGATGTGTCGCTCCTAGAGTAAGGCCTGAACTGGCGTTCTGGAAGTGGGGAGCCTGTGAGGCTCACGGGGCAGATCCTTAGGCTCTTAGGCTCTCGTATTGGTAACTCAAATTACACCCTCTGTGATAACTGGTTGTCCAAAAGAGGCAAAGTTCACATTGTGTTAATAATACACGTGGATACTTGATTAGCTATTTAATTTTTGAATATTTAGAGCAGTAGTTCTCAATCTCATGTGATTTTGCCTCCCTGGGGACATTTGGCAAAGTCTAGAGACTTTTTTTTTTTTTTTTTTTTTGAGACGGAATCTCCCTCTGTTGCCCAGGCTGGAGTGCAGTGGCATTATCTCCACTCACTGCAATCTCTGCCTCCTGGGTTCAAGCAATTCTCCTGCCTCAGCCTCCTGAGTAGCTGGGATTACAGGCGCCCACTACCACACCCGGCTAATTTTTGTATTTTTAGTAGAGACGGGGTTTCACCATGTTGGCCAGGCTGGTCTTGAACTCCTTGATACACCCCCCTCGGCCTCCCAAAGTGTTGGGATTACAGGCGTGAGCCATGGCACCGGACTGACATTTTTAATTGTCACAACTGGCGAGAAGCTACTTGCATCTAATGGGTAGAGGCCCAGGATGCTGTGAAACATCCCACAGTGCACAGGACAGCCCCAGACCTCCATTCCCTGAGTACCAGAACTTTAATTAAAGCTATTATTTGGAGGTTACCATGTGCCAAACACTAAGGGCTTCACTGATTCTAACTTACTTCATTCCCACAACAACCCCGTCTTTGCATCCCTGTTTTTACAAACGAAATTGAGAATTAGAGAGGTTAGAACATTTGCCCAGAATTATTCTGCTTGTGACTGTGAAGCTGGGATTCAAACCCAGGAGGCCAGGCTTTGGAATCCTAGTGCTTAACATTACACAATCTGCCTCTCGGATAACATATCTATATATATACTACATATATCATATACATATACACATATGCATACATATATCATAGTATAGTAATCAATGGCTCAATTATATATATACACACTTGTATGTGTATATATATATAGTGTGTGTGTATATATATATATAAAATCGAGCCATCATTCACATCACATAGCAACAAACAAATACAAGCGGCCAGGTGCAGTAGCTCACGCCTGTAATCTCAGCACTTTGGGAGGTCGAGGTGGGTGGATCACCTGAGATCAGGAGTTCAAGAACAGCCTGACTAACATGGCGAAACCCCATCTCTACTAAAAATACAAAATTAGCCAGGCGTGGTAACGCATGCCTGTAATCCCAGTTACTCAGGAGGCTGAGGCAGAGAATCACTTGAACCCAGGAGGCGTAGTTTGCAGTGAGCCAAGATTGCGCCATTGCACTCCAGCCTGGGCAACAATAGGGAAACTCTGTCTCAAGAAAAAAACAAGCAAACAAACAAACAAAAACTAAGACAAAAAACAAATACAAGGCTTTAAAGAAAAATCAGCCTTTGTGACAATATTATCTCTCTCTGTTCTGAGCTGGTTATTGTCACTGATTGTGAGAATGGGGACTATGTGTCACTGAACAGAGAAGGTGCTGAACAAAGGCTCTTTAATAAATAAATGAGTGATCAGATGGATAGGTAGAGATTGGTTGGTCCACCTCTACATAGTCTGTCTTCCCCTTCTAGCACCTTTATTTATTTATTTATTTATTTATTTATTTATTTATTTATGAGATGGAGTTTTGCTCTGTTGCTCGGACTAGAGTGCAGTGGCACAATCTGGGCTCCCTGCAACCTCTGCCTCCCAGGATCCAGCGATTCTCCTGCCTCAGCCTCCCAAGTAGCTGGGATTACAGACATGCACCACCACGTCCCGCTAATTTTTTGTGTTTTTAGTAGAGGTAGAGTTTCACCATGTTGGCCAGGCTGGTCTCGAACTCCTGACCTCAGGTGATCGACCCACCTCTGCCTCCCAAAGTGCTGGGATTACAGGCGTGAGCTACCACGCCTGGCCTTCTAGCAACTTTAAATGAACCTGATTTATCTTAGCTACTCAGACAACCATGTTTGCAAACCTTTTTGAATGATAACCCAGCCAAGCCTGGAGGGGTCCACAGTACCATCCTCTCGAGGATGTGATTTTCCATATTAGTCTTTCGGTCATGTGAGTTGGGACCAACCAGTCAGATGTGCTGATACCTTTCTAGACCTTTCCCAGGTACCAGAAGATGACAGGGAGAAAACAGTGACTGAAACAGAAGGGTTTGGGGCTCACACTTGCATGTATATGGGCTGAGGGGTAGGGGAAAAGGAGAAAGGGCAGCCTAGAAGGGAGAAAGCTGCAGAAAAAGGCAAGCAGGAATGAAGTAGTATGATTTGCTTGGCTATCCAAGGAACACAGAGAGCTGGGCTTTCTTTGAAAACCAAGAACATCTTGATCTCTGAGGAGTGTTAGGCCTGGGGTGGCTTATATCTCAGACAAAGTAAGCTCCAATATAGGATATAAGATCTATAGGAAAAGTAATCTTGGCTGGGTGTGGTGGTGCATGCCTGTAATCCCAGCACTAGGGGAGGCCAAGGTGGGAGGACTGCTTGAGCCCAGGAGTTCAAGACCAGCCTGTGGAACATAGGGAGACCCCCATCCCTAAATTTTTTTTAAATTATTATTATTTTTGAGACAGAGTTTCCGCTCTTGTTGCCCAGGCTGGAGTGGAGTGGCATGATCTCAGCTCACCACAACCTCCGTCTTCTGGGTTCAAGCGATTCTCCTGCCTCAGCCTCCCCGGTAGTTGGGATTACAGGCGACCACCATCACACCCGGTGAATTTTTTGTATTTTTAGTAGAGTTGGGGTTTCACCATGTTGGCCAGGCTGGTCTCGAACTCCTGACCTCATGTGATCCACCCACCTTGGCCTCCCAAAGTGCTGCAATTACAGGCGTGAACCATTGCGCCCTGCCTACAAAAAAGTTCTTAAAAAGTTATCTTGTCTGACTTGCTCACCACCGTGTCCCCTGCACCTACAATTATACTGAATGAACAGATGAATGAATGAAGAATGAGTGAATGAATGAAGTGAGTTGAAACGAGAGGGATCAGAGAGAAAGTTCTGATTTTCACAATCATCAAGGGCATTTGAGTCTCAGGACTACAGTCAGGTTACATATGGATTAAGGTGATAGGAAGGTTGGTTTTGATGTAAACACTTGAATCCTAAGGTGGACCTGGTGGGCTCTTGAACTCTACATGACCCCAGTGCTTGCACAATGATCTGCAGTAAAAGAACAAGGGAGGCAGGCATTCCTGTAGCCCAGCCCTGCCCCTGCCCTGCCCTCCCTTCTGAATCCAGGGTGGGGGCAGGGAAAGCCACAGTGTGAGCAGAAGACCTGGGCATGAGGGCGTTGGTTCTCCCCCTTCCTCCCTCCCACTGCATGGCCTTCACCACCCCACCTTCCTTTTCCTCTTGCCTCTTCCCTCTTCTAGAGGTATCCGAAGGTGAAGGGATCCGTAGTTCACCTCTAAATAGCAGTTCATATTTAAATGTTTACTTAATGTTCATACATTTACAAGTGTCAAAAATGGAAGTGGTCTTAAACAGTATTCAGAACACCCTTTTTTTTTTTTAAAGATCAGTCATATGGAGGCCCAAAGGAGGAAAGGGACGCATCTAGGGTTTCATAGTCGTGGAGTCAGAACTCAAACCCAGGTTTCTGAACTCCCAGGTCACTGCTGCTTCTACTGCTAATGATTTCAAAGTAGTTTCATGGGAGGAGCTGGGAGTGGAGCTCACACCTGTAGTCCAGCTACTTAGGAGGCTGAGGCCAGGATTTCGAGGATTACTGGGTCCCAGGACTTTGAGACCAGTAGTGATACCCGTCTTTAATAAAAGTAGTGTTGGCCAGGAGCGGTAGCTCACGCCTGTAATCCCAATACTTTGGGAGGTTGAGGCGGGTGGATCATGAGGTCAGGAGATGGAGACCATCCTGGCAAATGCGGTGAAAGCCTGTCTCTACTAAAAATACAAAAAATTAACCGGGCGTGGTGATGGGCGCCTGTAGTTCCAGCTACTCGGGAGGCTGAGGCAGGAGAATGGCGTGAACCCGGGAGGCAGAGCTTGCAGTGAGCCGAGATCACGCCACTACACTCCATCCTGGGTGACAGAGCGAGACTCTGTCTCAAAAAAAACCAAAACCACAGCAGAATACAATTCGGCCGCCAAGCCTGGTACTCTCTTTGCTGCCTCTTTGCTGACGCTTCTCAGCCTTACACGACGAGACACGTGTTATTACTGCATGGTCTTTTACATATGAAAGGCATTTCATAAACATGTTATTCAGGTAAGAAATGGTTATGTCTGGTTTTGTAGATTTTGATGCAAAACAGTTATTTTGTAATTGATGTCTGAAAATACGACATTATACATTTATACACTAAATAAATTCTCTCTAAAAATCCCTTATATTGACAATCCCAGGTCACCCTTACCTTGATGGTACCAGAATTGGCAGAAGAATCAGCCCCATAAATTCTAAAGACTTCCTCAATCGGGATACTGTTCTGTTAAACAACAACAGCATTAACAAAGTATGATCATACCATGGCTTTTCTTTTATTACAACACAAAGCTAGTATAGCTCCAGTATGTCTAAAACTGTGCTTGGGTATCATAAGTACTAAATACAGTAAATAACTTCTGATCAATGGATGAGTCAGTTTTCCAGATACCAATTAGTTATGTCTCTCATTCTTTTCTTTTTTTCTTTGCCTCTTAAATAAATGTTTTCACATACAGTTTAGAAGTTAGTCTTTTTATTATGTTAAAAAATGAAGCATTGGCCGGGCGCGGTGGCTCAAGCCTGTAATCCCAGCACTTTGGGAGGCCGAGACGGGCAGATCACGAGGTCAGGAGATCGAGACCATCCTGGCTAACACGGTGAAACCCCGTCTCTACTAAAAAAATACAAAAAACTAGCCGGGCATGGTGGCGGGCGCCTGTAGTCCCAGCTACTCGGGAGGCTGAGGCAGGAGAATGGCGTGAACCCGGGAGGCGGAGCTTGCAGTGAGTGGAGATCGGGCCACTGCACTCCAGCCTGGGCAACAGAGTGAGACTCTGTCTCAAAAAAAAAAAAAAAAAAAAAAATGAAGCATTTACTATTAGTAACTCCTAAACATTTAGAAACATTGGTTGAAAAATAATGTAAATATTCATTACTGTAAAAATGCTCAGAGTAGATATGAAATATTCATGTAGGCAAATAATATTCTTTTCCTTACCATTAAGATTCCAGCATAAGATGATAAAATCATAGCTTCTCGTTCTCTACGATTTGGATACATGGGTCTGCCACGGAATGGCATTTTCCTAATGGGAATAGGAAATACAAGTGGAGGATTTATTCTTGTTCTTTTTGATGCCTGCTGAGGTTGTGTTGATAATCGATAAGTAATCTGCAATGGCTGTGTGCTATCCGCTTATTTATCTTAATAAAACTGATGTGATTGTTCCTCCATCGGTGAAATCCAAACTTTGAATTTTTAACCTTCCAATAATGGTGATGAATTTGGCCTCATCTATCCATGTTTTCACAGCACTCAAAGACTGGCAGACTGGTCACTGTGGGGGATGTTTACGGTTTTGCGAACCATTATCCTTTCCCGTTCTTGTGGCAATTTGCTTTCGGGGAGCTACCTAACCCCACTGTAAGCCTATATGCTTCTAGGGGAGCCCACTACACCCCTAGATTCCAAAAGTGAAAAATACACTGTGGACTGAGCTGTCAGTGTATTCCACCTCCCCTGCACTGCCACTGTCCAACCCTAGACAAGTCAGGTAACAGCCCCTGAGACACAATTATGTGATGAAAAAATATATATATATGTGTGTGTGTGTGTGTGTGTATATATGTGTGTGTGTATATATATATCTCCACCCTTCCTCTGATAATGAAATAGGCTGAAACTAGGAATGATGTTCACCCTGAGGAAATGGAGTCAAGAGGTAGATCCATATGACATTGTTTGAGTTTTGAATTAAACCATGCCTAACACTGTCCTACCCATGGACTTTTCAGATTCAAGGGCAATAAAATCTACTCCCCACCTTTTTTTGCTTAAGGCTGTTCAAATTGGATTTTCTGCTCATTGCAGCTAAACCCTAACTGTTACATCTCTCTAGGATCAAGTGTGTAGTCCAGAGCCATTGAGTAGAAAAAAAAAATAACAGGCCTCTGGAATAAGCGATTTGATCCTGTCCTCATTAGTTCTGTGTTCTTACCAATTGAGTGAATCTGCCTGTACACTCCCTACACACGACAGAAAATGCCAGTAATCCCAGAAAGAAAATTATTCTGCACTTTAAATAGCTCAGCTGAGATACATATCTGCCTAAATGCTTAAGAATTTGTGTTTTGTAGTCCTTAGGAAAAGATTACAGCCTTTAACCGTAGAACTGACTGTTTGAAATTATGGCATGTACACAGTAAAGAAGTCACGTTTCTAATACAGAGCATTCTTTATTTTTGAGATGGAGTCTCACTCTGTTGCCCAGGCTGGAGTGCAGTGGCACAATCTTGGCTCACTGCAACCTCCGCCTCCTGGGTTCAAGTGATTCTCCTCTCCTGCCTCAGCCTCCTGAGTACAGGTGTGCACTACCATGCTGGGCGAAGTTTTGTATTTTTAATAGAGACGAGGTTTTACCATATTGGCCAGGCTGGTCTTGAACTCCTGGCCTCAAGTAACGAGTCTGCCTCGGCCTCCCAGAGTGCTGGGATTACAGGCATGAGCCACTGCACCCGGCCCCTTAAGATACAACATTCTGTGCAAGAAAGTCTTTTATCTCACAGAAGTCAATTGGTAGAGATGCAAAACATGGAAACACGTAACTTCTTCAAGTTGGCAACTGTGGAGTTTCTTCAGGTGTCTCGTTGAAGGGGATATTCACCCTGTAGTGTTTTCAAATCAGAGTGCCTCATGATGGAAGATGTTAGGGCTGGAACTTCCTCTATCGTTAATCATAGGCACAAATTAAAGAGGAAAGCAACAAACCTATTTCAACTTACAGTTCCTCCCACTCCAACCAAGTTAAGTCTTCTGAGGGATGCAGCCATTGCAAAGCAACACTGATGGCCAAGTCATAGTGTGCCTGGGAGCAGGAAGCACAGAAAGCAAAGAAACAGGCTTAGACATTGGCCAAAGTACTCTCTGGACCCAATGACAATGGTATTGCTAAGCCTATTCTAGTCTGTCATGTCCAAAATGGGAAGGATCATTAGCTTTAATAACCTGATGCTCAGACAGATTTTTTTTTTCTCAGACCTCACCTCACAGGGATGAATCAGTCAGAAATATTTTGGGATCTTCAGACATTAAATTTATTTCCCACTAGAGCAGTTATCTGATTTCTGTGATTTGGAAACGAAAGGAGAGATCAGTGAAGAATTATAAACTTGGAATCAGAAAATCTGGGCTCAAATCTAGGTATTGCCAACAACTCACGGAATATCCTTAGGTGAGTAACTGATGCTCTCTGGGCCTCAGTTTCCCTAAATTTTAAAATAGAAAAAGGTAAGGCTGGGGGAACAGGGCTGCAGGGAACAATTTCTGGTTCCGTGAGTAGAATGTAAGAAATGTGCTTCCAGGGGTGCAGGGGCAGTGTGGTGAGAATTTGGAAGGATGGGCCATTTTATGTCTACCTGGAGAGATAGCTAGAATCCCAAGAAGCTTCAGAGACGAAAGCTTCATTGAAGCTGGGGCTTGTGGGATGATAATGTCTACAGATGGGGAAGGAAATCACAGGTAGAGGAACTATAATGAAGCAAAGATGGGGCAGGCGGGGAGCGGGATAGACCTGAGTGACTTGCTGAGAGTTTTACATGCACATATAGTAAAAAGCTGAGAACCAATGCAGAGGCTCATTTTTATCATAGTGACCACCTTTTCCTAGTAATTCCTAAGAGTTCTTGTTCAGTAAGCAGATTTACCATTTGTCTATCAAAATATTCCTTCTCTCTTTTCAGTCCCCACACACAGAAAAGGGAAGATTGGTTCTGTTTTTAATTATTGTAGAGGCGTTCTTAAGTTTTAACATTTTTAAACAGTGGAGTTATTTCTTCCAGGGACTAAACCAAACTGAACAGGGAACCTAAATGAATAAATAAACAGGAAGAATGGGACCATGACCAGTTGTTGCAACCTGATCCGAGGTTTGACGCCTTGGCATCACCCGTTTGCTCATTTGAAATGCAAATTCCTAGGCCGTGGGCCCACCCCATTTCACCTCCTGAATCAAAACAGCCTTGTAATATGACCTCATTAAAGTTTGAGAAGCACTGCTCTAATCTACTTAATTTATCTGTTTAATATATGTACAGAGAGAATAAGGCTTAACTGTTTCCTTAGCTCCAGGGTAGTTTTGAAAGCCAGTGAGACTGACTCTACTTTAGTCAGAGAAGAAGAGGAGAGGGGAGTGGAGGGAGGGAGTCTTTCTTATTAGTGCAAGGATAGTAAATGGGCAGTGGAAAAACAGGGTGTGCTGATTTCTTTTGAGTTAGATCTTTATATGGTTTCTTCCTTAATTTCTGTGATATGAACTTTCAGATCCTGAGTCTGGGTTTCAAAATAAATAACACCAAGGATTTTTAGGTTTTCCCTAATTTATTTGGTTTTCCCCCACGAATGCAAATGGTAAAGAAATTTTTTTAAGAACTACATGATAGCTAATTTTATCAAACTCTTAACTCCACGAATGTAACATTTTGCCTTGCATTGATTTTGCTTTTTAATCTTCTTTCCTAATAGCAAATAACTCTCATGATTTTTATTTTCTCCTTCTCTTTTTGCTTTCTGGTTAGTGGGTTGAAATGACCATATGAACAATCTCAGGGTGAGGAGAAGATGAGGAAGAGGACATTTGGGGGATGGGTGTCAATATTAGCCTTGTTTATTGTATAAATTAGATCCTTTTTCTGTCTCTTTAATACACATGTAACACAAATATGACTCGCATCAGCATGCCTTTCTTTACCATATCATCTAGAGAGGTGAGTTGCCTTCTTCCTTTTGGGTCAAATTCATTTTCCCGAAGTCTGATGCCAATATAATCTCCCCTTAAAAGCAAGAGAGCAGCATTGAACCATTGAAGTGACACAGGCTCAGTCTGCAGAAAAAGGCTTTTTTTTTCCCCATCCCTCCCTCCTCCACCAAAATACAACAGAAGTTGCTGATACTCTGGTAGCTGAGTTAATATTCAGTTTTGGTTTACATGGTAATTCTACAGTGCTGCAGTTTAAAATGTCTAACCATAATTAGCTGAAATAACATTTATCTAAAAATTAAACTCAACTGGAACAGAATTTACAGGAAAGTAAATAATATGTCAAATACCCACACACAGAAATGGTTTTACAAGACCAAAAGGATTGAGACACACTGTTTAAAATAATCATTTGCTTCCCGTGTTAAATTCAAGCAGCATGTCCAAAGTTGATAAATTCCAGATACATAAAATTCTGTAGGTAAGTATTCTTTTCCATAAGGTTTTTTCTCTTTAGAATGCAAATACCCTTAGGAGGAGGAGTGCATGAAAACTTATTAGTGATTCCACTTTAGTTTATCCTTAGCAGATCCTTTCCTAACAGTGACTTTTAAGAAAAGAAGGTAAAATAAGCACCATGAGGAGAGAAGAGAAAGAGGTGCTACCCTGGGAATGTCAGAGAGAGGAAATGGGTGCAGGAAAAGAAGGACTATGGCATATCCCAGGTTGATTTCGGCACATCTCACAATTTTACGTAAGGTGGAGAATAAATTTATTTCTGGCTTCTAAAAGCTTTTCCTCTGAGTCACTAAGCTTAACTAGATTGAGAAAAATTCTTAAATTTCTACTGAAATTTCAGGATACTTTAAAGTAGCCTAAATGTATTCTTTGGATATAAACTTGTATTTATATCACTTTTGAAATTCCAAATCTTTGGATGAGATATGTGGAAGAGTTGGCATTCCTGATCATGGTTTGTTCTTTACTATTCTATTGGTCTCTAACATATAACACAAATACGACTTGCATCAACGTGCCTTTCTTTACCATATAATCTAGAAAGGTAAGTTCCCTTCTTCCTTTTGGGTCAAATTCATTTTCCTGAAGTCTGATGCCAATATAATCTCTGCTTAAAAGCAAGAGATGAATATGAATTCACATACATGTGCATACACATATATGTGTACACGTGTACTATATATGAATTCACATATGTGTATACATGTATATATGTACATATATGTACATTCATAGTTTCTTCTAGTATTTCTTAAGGGCTTGTTAAAATGAAATTATCTTAGAAGGCCAAGAAAAGATATTTGATGGGGATGGTGATAGCTCTTTGATGAAAAGGGTATTACTGTTGTGTCTATAACACATATGAGATAGAACATAATCTTTCTTTTTTCTTTTTATATGGTTTGTGATCTTTCGCCAACATTCGTTAAGTACAAGTCAAAGAAAAACTAACATGGGAGGAAAACATTTCTTTCAAAGGAAACTTGATGTTTTCTGTGTTTGTTTTAAAAATGGTCAGATGTCAAGAAAAAGGAGATGAATTTCTTAGTCAATAAGGCTGACAATAAAAGAGGCAGAGCAGGAGGCTGCAATTCAGATGCTGGGCCCTTTCAGGAATCTCTCCTATACCTTTTACCAGCAGAGGCAGACCCTTTCAACGGTGCATCCTGCCTACACAGGCTGACTGGGACATAGGCTCAGCTCTCAGGCTCTAGAACGCAGATGCCTTGAATGTGCAGGCTGCCAGCAGAAACATCCTCCCAAAAGTTTCAGCATCCTGCCTTGCACCACATGTGAGGCCTCCCTGGCAGGAGACCGAGAGAGGCCAGATCATCCTCTGGTTTTCTCCTACCATGCAGAAATAGATTCTTCCTTTGATTTTTACCCGCTGCCAATACCCAAGCCATCTATGACATGAAATCCACTGAATGCCAAGTGCCATAAATGAAAGTTATTCTCAATCATACTTACAAGAGCTTTTTCATTTCCTTCTTTATGAGCCTTCTTTCCATGTTAAAGGCTTAGCCAGCTGAGCAGGTATCTGCAGCTAACAGTACACTTGAGATCCTGTGGGAAGACCCAGCTTCTCTGAGCCTAGAGGCTACAGCAGCAAATCAGAGAGAATTTGAGTTAGGGATGCTATCACTCCAAATACCAGTCATGGAGTCCTAGGCTCTGGAAGGGATCCGAGGGAGCACCTCATTCAGGCCTCTTATTCAGCAGATTCAAGGTCAAAAAGCTGCCTGGAGGCTCATGCACTGTACTTTGTATTTATTTGACACCTTTTATTCCTTCCAAATTTTTCCAGCACTTATTTACTTAATTTACTCTTCCTTGCAATAATCTAGCAAGTAAAATCAAAATGGTTTGTGTAATAGCTGATGAGACTGTTCGGGCAGAACCATCCAAACTAGATGGATGTGATCCATCTAGATCTAAATGCGTTTGGGTTTTTCTGTGAGCATAACTCCCAGTGAGTTCACCCTGGCTCAGTGGCTCATAATGCAGTTTTCCATAGAATCCATCTATACCCTCCTATGGCCAGGAGGTCCTTGGAAGAAAATGTGGTTATGGGAAATATGTCTTCAATTCCCACCCCTGCACTGAACCAGAAATTGAAGATCAGGTGATGGGGTCAAAAGAGGTCTGAAGTCATCAAAAAGGAGTCTGTAGAAAATCATCACTGTTGAATGGGGTACTCAGGGAGAGGTATAAATAGGGTATCTCTCTGTGATGTTTTATTTATTATTAAATTTATTTTATGGTTGGGCCACTATCTGTGATGTTTTATTTATTTTTAAATTTATTTTATGGTTGGGCCACTATGACCAAATAGTTGTTCAGACATTATCCCAGATGTTTCTGGTGTTTTTTGATGAGATTATCATTTAATTCAGTGGATTTTGAAAGCAGATTGCCCTCTATCTGAGTGAGCCTTGTCCAATCAGTCAAAAGCCTTCATAGAACAAAAGACTGACCTCCCCCATGCAAGAAGGAATCTGCCAGTAGGTAGCCTTTGGATTCAAACTGCAACTCTTCCCTGAGTCTGCAGGCAGCTGGCCTCCTCTATCAGATTTTGGACTGGCCAAGACCCCACAATCATGTCAACCAATTCCTTAAAATCAAAATATTTGAGCAAAAGAGATGGTTAAGCCTATACTGCACTGTGTGTGTGTGTGTGTATCCACACACATCCTGTCGGTTCAGTTTCTCTGAGGAACCCCAATACTCAAATATAACAAAATGTTAGTAGTTATTGACTCCAGAATTCTAAACCCATGGGTGTTTATTATACTACCCTTTGTACTTTTAAAATTATACGTGTATTTAAATCACTACTCTAAAGATGATTGGAAAACAAACTTTAGAAACGGTTTTTAAAAAAATGGTACCATATAAGCTTCACTTGATTCAGCTCTACTAACAGTAAGCAAAGAGCAAACAGGTTGGCGCTGATCTAAATAAAGTATTCCCTAGTCCACCTTCGTTATTTTGGATAAATTTTTTCTTTTCTTTTTTTTTTTTTTTTTGAGATGGAGTCTCGCTCTGTTGCCAGGCTGGAGTGCAGTGGCACAATTTCGGTTCACTGTAACCTGCGCCTCCTGGGTTCAAGCGATTCTCCTGCCTCATCCTCCCAAGTAGCTGGGACTACAGGACCATGCCACCATGCCCAGCTAATATTTTTGTATTTTTAGTAGAGACAGAGTGGTGTCACCATATTGGCCAGGATGGTCTCCATCTCTTGACCTTGTGATCCACCCGCCTCGGCCTCCCAAAGTGCTGGGATTACAGGCATGAGCCACTGCGCCTGGCCATTTTGGATCATTCTTGCTGCTGCTACATCTGCTTCAGTTTTTGGGGAGTGAACGAGATGTGGATAAGATGAAAGTGGGAAGAAAGTAAGAGTATTTCACAGGAAATTGATTAAGTATCAAGACAATAATATTGCCCCCTACAGAGTCAACGGGGAGAGAATGCAGCAAGCCATAGAGGTGGCCCCATTGCCTAGAGAAGAAAGAGCACTGGACCCAGGAAAGCCACACTCGTTGATGTGGCTGTGCATCTTCTGCTTCCCAGCCTCAGGTATTATCCTAAAAAGATGGGCCTGGCTAACACTGCCAAGAGCACTTGTTACCCCAACATTCTGTAACTCTATAAAGTCTGGCATGCATTAAAATTCTTCTGATTCAATAATTTGGAAAAATATTTGTTGCTAGACTATTTGGCCTATCTCAATTCCTTGAAGGGGACTAAGGCACACTTAGCATATGCTTTAATCCATTCTTGTCTTGTAATTCTGAGCAAGCCCTTTGAGTTTCAGACTTACAAGTTATAATATTTGCGTTGCTCGGTTGTTGTGACAGCTTCCTCTTAGATCATCCCTCATCCTCCCCATCCCCTGCACCCACCACCGCCATTCAATATAGTATAATATGCAAAGGTTTCAATCTTTAAAATATGAGTATATCCCACTCCCAAACCACTAAGCTGTAGATCAGAAGACCCTGTGAGGCCACCAACTAGCTGTGCACCTTGAACAAATTAATTTGCCTCTCTATGTTTCTTCATTTCTTCCTCTGTAAAAAAAAGCATTGAATGATTGGCGAGATTCCTTACAGCTGTAGAAGTCAGTGATTTATATGCATTTAGTAGCTACACCTGGTTTAAAGAATGCCATTTGCATGGACTGTAATTCAGCTAGATTTGAATTCTGCCAGTTACCTCTCTTCTCTGACTAAAGAGCTCTAAAGAAAACAAGACCGCTGTGTGTTTTGTGTGTGGCTGAAAGCACACACAAAAGAGGTACTGGAAAGATGTCAGCTGTCTCAGGCTTTAACTGTTTCATAGAAACAATTCCCTAGAAGTCAGAGCCCCCAGATTCTATAGGAATATCATTTCCTGGAGAATATCTGCACATTCCATGGCCTGCTGCACCCCTGCAATCGTGGTACAGGTCTCTCGGGCTGTTCTATTAGGTGCCTGCTCTTAACAAATTCCCCTTTGAGAATTGCTCACCAACCGCAGACCTATTCCAGTGCTTTTGTTCTTTCTCTGCTTCTGGAGGCATGCTGGAGCATCCGCGCGTCTCAGACTGGTGCTCACAGACATCAGGATAACATGCTTTTTCCTGGTTGCTAGGAAACAGTGAATGAATTAAAATCATTTGTTTTAAAAATACACTCCCCGACGCCCACCCCCATTAAGGGTTGAGGGAGGGTGAAAAGTCATATATTTGGGACAGGATTGTGATCCTGGCCTGAAGTTCACGTGTCTTTTTACCTGAGTAGGCTTATGTTTCCCATCTAAATGATTAATTGAAAAACCAGGAGGATGGGAGGAGTTTACCTCCCCCGGAGTTTTTTATAGCATTTGGCTGCAGACATAGGAATCAATTGACTAAGCAAGGATTGCTGGGGAAGCTAGTAAAACTCCAACTCCTACATTCTTAGGGTGCCCCTAAGTACCCAATGATGCAAAGATCATTCTACTTGGTGAATGTCAACACAGAACAGTGGCAATCCTGAAGAAACATCACCTGGGTTCAAACCATTACCATCTTTCTAATGATAAATGAGATCCCTGCCCACACACCTGCCTCCTTGTCTTAAACACTTGCTCCCTTGCTTAAAGCTTGCTAATGGTTTCTGTCTGTGTCTCCTCTATATCACTAGACTAGGGGCAGAGTTTGTACTTCTGGCCCATCTACAGCTGGTTGTCTGTTGTTGACACCTCTTAATCTTTATTTCCACTCCTTTCCACTGGCCAGGTAAGTCACTTGATTACCTGAGGTTGCATTATGGAAGACACTGAAAAAACCATAGATTTGGAATTTTCTAAACTAGTTGTTCAATCCATATTGAGTTTATGTTGTACCTAGACACTTCCAGGTTTGGTGAGCCTGAAGTTTATACATTATGGGGACCCTGTTTAATAAAAACAATGCAGAATTGTAAATATGTAACTAATACAAAATTGAATGTTTATGTAGAACTATTAATCACAAGTTACAAATTTTAAAGAGCTGAAAAATACCATAAACAATCAGTATTAATATTTTCATGATTACTAACTGCCTAACATACTCTAAAATTCCTTTTTTGTTTACATACTCTTTGATTATCTCTTAATAGGACCAAGATTTCATAGTATTCTCTATAGAGAAAATTAAAAAATAATTCAGTCTCTCCTCTGCTGTGACTGTTTACTGTTTGTTTATTCATTTATTTTTTGAGCTGGAGTTTTGCTCTTGTTGTCCAGGCTGGAGTGCAGTGGTGCAATCTCAGCTCATAGCAACCTCCGTCTCCTGGGTTCAAGTGATTCTCATGCCTCAGCCTCTCGAGTAGCTGGGATTACAGGTGTATGCTACCACATACAGCTAATTTTTGTATTTTTAGTAGAGACAGGGTTTCGCCATGTTGGCCAGGCTGGTCTTAAACTCCTGACCTCAAGCGATCCGCTTTGGCCTCTCAAAGTGCTGCGATTATAGGCATGAGGCACTGTGCCTGGCTTGTCATTTTATTTTTAAAGTAAAACTTGTTCTTAGACAACAAAGCAATGGTAACTTTTGAAGCATGACCTTTTATTCTTTCCAATTGGGTTAGTAAATAATTTTCTTGGTTATTTTGTTGCTATTATTGTTTATAGGAAGGTATTTCCAAGGGTAGCACTTCAGGATGAGTTGTCTCCTTGAGTTTGTTGAGAAATAAAAGCTCTAGGTAAGGCCAATCATGTCAGGTTTCCAAAACATTTCTTGGAAAAAAATTAAGGTGGCCATATTAACTGTCTTTTCTTCACTGCGTTCTTCTTGAAGGCAGAGTCTTTGTCCTATTGGTTTTTGTCCTTCATGAGGTCAGTGAATAGAACAGATTCTCCCAGTTTCCTGCCAGCAGCACCTCTCACATTGAGGCTGAGAAGCATTTCTATCTTTAAAGAATTGCAGTATAATAAAAAAATGAAAATAAATAAAAAGTCAAAATTGGTTTGTAAAAACTGTCATATATTTTAAATGGTGAATTCAATACAAAAATATTTGAATTATAATGTAATATAAATGTGCTATTTACAAAATAATAGGAAGAAAAGGATATGAATCCATGGTAATCTAGAAATAAGATATGTTTAAAGTTGACCCATGAAGATTTTTGTGTTTGTTTTCTTCAACACCAAGTGTAAATACAATTAGAATGATGTCAAGAGTAGGGTGACTACGAGGTGGAGACAGAATAGATTGCCTGGCCTGTCACTTCATCCTCATCCACACTCTAAGATAAGTCTACTCATTAGGTCCAGATGTGGTGGCTCATGCCTGTAATCCCAGCACTTTAGGAGGCCAAGGTGGGTGAATTGCTTGAGCCCAGGAGTTCCAGACCAGCCTGGGCAACTTGGCTACAACCCGTCCCTACAGAAAAAAAAAACAAAAAAACAAAAAACTAGCTGGCTATAGTGTCATGTGCCTGTAGTCCCAGCTACTTGGGAAGCTGAGGTCGGAGGATCACCTAAGTCCAGGGAGGTCGAGGCTGCAGTGAACCATGGTCACACCACTGCATTCCAGTCTGGGCAACAGAGTGAAACTATTTCAAAAAAAGAAAAAAAAAAGTATACTTATTAGATACACAAGCTATTAAAACACCTTAAGATAGAAAGTGGATGTTATAGAACTTGTATGTTTAAAATATTACCTATTAGGCCAGGCGTGGTGGCTCATGCCTATAATCCCAGCACTTTGGGAGACCAAGGCAGGCAGATCACTTGAGGTCAGGAGTTCCAGACCAGCCTGGCCAACATGGAGAAACCCCATCTCTACTAAGAACACAAAAATTACCCAGGCATGGTGGCACATGCCTGTAATCCCAGCTACTCGGGTGGCTGATGCATGAGAATCACCTGAACCTGGGGAGGCTGCAGTGAGCCCAGATCATGCCACTGCACTCCAGCCTGGGTGACAGAGACTCTGTCTCAAAAAAAAAAAAAAGGTTACTTATTGGATATAACATGAGTATATTGTCTTCAGTAGCACTTGTAAAATTAGACTGATTTTATTACTCCTAACTTAAAACTGTGACTTTTCTCTGTACCAGCTGGTTTGGATGCAGGCAGGATCGCTGTGTGGATAGATGGTCAAGGGATTTGAGTTGGAAACATGGAATCATAGGCTATAAGAACTAGAAGGGTAATATTTAGTAACATTTTCTGTCTCAGAGGACAAGAAGTATACCTAAGGCCACAGACAAGCTGAAGCCAGAAGCCAGGCTAATTGAGAGCCCAAGTGACCTTGTTGTTGCAAACATACTTTAGAAGGCTTAACATGAAGCAGAAGCTTCAGGTTGTTCAAAACAGTGCTCCTTTATCCATCTCCCTCCTTGTTGAAATAAATTATAGCTAGCTTTGCCATTTGTCCTAGGATATTTGATACTGTGATAAGCCATACCTTGTTGATCCAAAAGAAGTGAATTGCCTGTATTAATCATGTGAAACCTTGTTTCATTCCATTCCTTAAATTCTCAAAAGCAAACTTGCCTCAAAAAACTGTGTAAACTATACTCAAGTAAGGACTCATCTCACACAGTATAATGAAAGAAGCCAGTCACAGAACACACATGATTTGATTCATGTGTATAAAGTACAAAAAATGGTAAAACGACTCGCTTTTGGAAGTCAGGGGAACGGTTACTAAATCTTTGTTGCCAGGATGTGGAAGGGGCACACCTGGGGACTTCCTGGGTTCTGATAACATTCTGGGTCTTGATTTGGGGCTAACAAGGAAATGTTCAGCTTATAAATTTCACCAAGCTGTATACTCATGACATGTGCTCTTTTCTATATATTTATTGTATTTCAATTAAAAGTTCTATAAATGGACAGAGGAATTAGTAATTGTCATGGGTCCATCTTAATGTGCCTGGGACAAGCAAAATTTAGAAACAGAGTTTTTAAAAATCTGTTCTTTTAGATTAGATCCCATCTCTAGAGCCACATCTAGAAGCATGAAGTTGAATTTTACTGAGCTTTTCTGCAGGAATAAAATGGTTCTTTTTTAATTTGTTTGGTTCCAGCTCAGAAAGTTCTCTTTGTATTGCTGTTGGAGAGAGGTAGTTTTTGTTTGTTTGTTTGTTTTGTTTTTTGTTTTTTAAAGACGGAGTCTTGCCCTGTTGCCCAGGCTGGAGTGTAATGGTGCAATCACGGCTCACTGCAAACTCCGCCTCCCAGGTTCAAACGATTCTCCTGCATCTCACCTCTCTCTCACTGCTGCCATGCTCTCTTTACTCTGTACTTTTAGCTGAGAATCACGATTTTTTTTTTTTTTTTTTTTTTTGAGATGGAGTCTTGCTCTGTCTCCAGGCTGGAGTGCAGTGGCGCCATCTTGGCTCACTGCAACCTCCCTCTCCTGGGTTCACGCCATTCTCCTGCCTCAGCCTCCCGAGTAACTGGGACTACAGGCGCCCGCCACCACGCCTGGGTAATTTTTGTATTTTTGGTAGAGACGGGGTTTCACCATATTGGCCAGGATGGTCTCTTATCTCTTGATCTTGTGATCTGCCCATCTCCGCCTCCCAAAGTGCTGGGATTACAGGCATGAGCCACTGCGCCTGGCACAATCTTATTAATAGTTGGGTACAGAGCCCTGCAAGCAGAGTGCACACCTCCTTCACCAACTCCATGGAACATTTCATGAAATTAATCTCAGAATCGTGGTGTCAGAAAGAAGAGTCTTATTTTCTTTGTCACTTTGGTTAGATCATTAGTCATTAGGCACTTACCTCTCCCCTTCCCGCTCAGGATCTAGTTTAATGTTAGCTGTAAGTAGACTAGATAGAAGGTTTCAGAAACATACTAAGACTTCTGAGTTGGGCTTCATATTTAAGTGTTTCCTCTGCCACAGCAGGCTGGGGACAGAGTTTATAATAGAGTTTCAATAATGATGAACAGTATTAATTTTCTGGTTCTTTTTATTAATATGGAATTCTTAATTTATTTGGACCAACAGATAAAAGATGATCAACAAAACAGTTTTCATTATGAGTATAATTTTACTTCGACGAGCACTCTATAGACCTTTGGAACCATTCTAATGTAGAAAATATAAAGGTGTGATATAGAAAGTACATTATCTATGTTGGTGTTACACAGGTCTGTTACTTATTCTCATTGTGTTTTCCATATGTTCTTTTGCAAGCATAAACATAAAATGTATGTAATTTCAAAATTGTTTAAATATACAATTTTTATTTCTCCATGCAACCTCCAATTTCAGCTGCTGTTTTTCATTTATTTATTTATTTATTTATTTAGAGACAGAGTCTCACTCTGTCACCCAGGCTGGAGAGCAAT